GCCCCTGGGTCTCCCTAACCCCTCAGTCTCCCTGCTCACCCCTCAGTCTCCCTCCCCTCCATGCCTCCGTCTCCCTCTCTCTTAGTCCTCCCCTTTCCCCTTAGTCTTTCCATCATTGACACCCAGTGTCCTCAGGGTCTCAGAATCGGGAATCTGAGATAGAGACACTTGAGCATTTCTTAAATGCTGTTTAAAAATTATTACTATTTGGAAGAAAGAGGTGAGGGAAGGAGAAGGAGTGGGGAGGAGGGAAAGGAGAAGTGAGGGAGGGGGCAGGCGCGCAGGGGAAGAGAGGGAGCCTTAAAATGCTGTTATGATGACAACATGAGAACTGGAGAACTGGGTAGATGCCTTCCAAAGCCAGGAAACCCATTTTATCTAATACAGCTATCCTTATTTTATTTTATTTTATTTTATTTTATTTATTTTGAGACGAGTCTTGCTCTGTCACCCAGGCTGGAGTGCAGTGGTGCGATCTTGGCTCACGGCAGCCTCCGCCTCCCCGGTCCCACTGATTCTCCTGCCTCAGCCTCCCGAGTAGTTGGGATTTACAGGCATGCGCCACCATGCCTGGCTAATTTTTTATTATTGGTAGAGTTGGGGTTTCACCATGTTGGCCAGGCTGGTCTTGAACTCCTGACCTCAGGTGATTCACCTGACTCAGCCTCCCAAAGCGCTGGGATTGATTGCAGGCATGAGCCACCGCACCTGGCATAATTCAGCTGTCTTTAAATAGACAAACGTGAGAAACCAACAGATACATGTGCAGCACGAGACATTTGGAAGATTGTCTCAGCAAATCGGCTGCCTTGAAGGTGGACCGTGTAGGAGTGTACGCAGAGGCAAGTGCCCCACGGTGGCCAGGACAGGCAGGAAGTCCCAGGTGCACAGTCCAAGCTGGCAGGACCTAGAGCTGACTGTCACTCAGCTGCAGTGTCCTTGCCATGGCAGCCCTCCCCTCCTGCTTGTCATAGATGGCATCCTCCCTTCCAGGCCTCTTGCCATGTTCCGGGCAGGAAGAAGGAGGGGAAAGGGCTGACTCCCAGCGAGGGACTCGTGCCTGTTTCTCCCCAGCCAGGACTGTGTCCCAGAAACCATAGTTTTGAGGGGGTGGCCTCAGGATGTTTTCAGCAGGTCCCATTGCTGTAGTTGGGACCTTGAGCAATATCAGAATCTGTTGGTGAGGAAAGGGGTATGGGTGTGGGACTGGCAGCTCAGGGGAGGGACAGCTTACTCTTGAGACCCCAGGGGAGCAGAGAAAGCAGAGCCACCAGCAGAGGGGGTCCTGAGGCTGGGCCTCAGCAGGCAGTATGGAAGTGAGTTTGAGTGAGGAGCGTGGCTGTGGAAAAGCTCGGGGTGGGCAGTGGCAGAAGGTATGAAGGACAGGAGCAATGCCAAGACTGATGTGGGGGCGGGGATCGGGGCCTGCCCCTTGATGCATTTCTTCTCCAGATGTTCTCTGAGCCATTGGGAAGGGTGTGGACAGTGGGACAGCCTTGATGTCATGGCTGGGTTTGCATGCCAGCAGCAGCTGGCACAGATCGAGCTCTTAGGATGTGCCGGGCACGGGCTGAGCCCTCACACGCAAGGCCACAAGCAGTCCTCCCTCCGGGGCTTGGAGGCAGGCAGGATTGTCACTCCAACTTCACAGAGGAGGCTGCTGAGGTTCGCAGTGGCCAAATGAGCTGCCCAGGCATCTCAGCCAGGAAGCAGAGGGTCTGGGTACCCAACCCACTAAACCTCCACACTGTGCCACTTCTCCAGGGACAGTCAGAGGGAGGCTACGTAGGAGAGGGCGAGTGAGAGCAGGACAGCAAGGAGGAGGCAGCCGTGGAGGTCTGCCTTCATCCTGACACGGGCGGTGAGGTGCTGTTCTGGGAGGGTTCTGGCAGAAATGGTGTCTTTGGGTCTTGGGTGGTGGGCACCTGGGTGCCAGGCCCAGGCTGAGCCCCAGGGCCCCTAGGTGTGCAGAGGCAGTGTGTGTACTGCTCGGAGTGGCAGGCAGGGCCTGTGGACGAGGGGCACTGTGACCCCCTGGGCCAGCCTGATGACCGCCAGAGGAAGTGCAGTGAGTAGCCCTGCCCTGCCAGGTGAGCTGCCCCCACACCCCTGCCAACTCCCCACCCCCAGGTGGCTTGGGTCTGCTACAGGCCCCTACTTCTGGGCCCCAGAGTTCCCAGGGAGGAGCACAGGCAGCCAGATTTTCACGGGTCTTCCCAAGGCTGAAGCCCTAGCTCCCGGTCACCCCTTACTCCAGCTTGGGCCAGCCTGGACACCTGTGGTCCTCCTCCTTAGGTCCCTGGATATGGAAATAGGCCTCAGGTCACAATCCCTTCCCCTGAGGGGAGGGTGGCAGGAGCGGAGGGGCTGGGCCATGTCACCAGACTTAGGGGGCAGGACACCTACCTGGGCTTGGAGCTCTGGAGAAGCAGCCACTGGCCTTGGTCCCAGCTCTGGGACCAACCCCGAGGGCCTGGGAGCCTGGCCTGGCCCTCCCTGCTGGTGAGCCTGCTGATGCCACCCATGTGCCCTTGCCAGGTGGTGGGCAGGTGAGTGGCAGCTGTGCTCCTGCGGGCCTGGGGGCCTCTCACGCCGGGTCATGCTCTGCATTCACAGCGTGGGGCTGGATGAGCAGAGCACCCTGGAGCTGCCCGCCTGTGAACACCTGCCCCGGCCCCCAGCTGAAACACCCTGCAACCGCCACATGCCCTGTCCAGCCACCTGGGCTGTGGGGGTCTCAGGTGAGTTCGGGATGGGAGGGGCCGCCTCCAGTGCCACCCTTGGTCTCAGGCTACAGGGAGGCAGACAGCCTTCCTCCAGCCCTTTCTGCCTGGTACCGTGGGTGGGAGGGAGTCTGGGGCATTCCAGGGTCCAGCCTGACTCCAAAGCCTCAGGGATCAGGAAGCCCCTGTGAAGCCGTGGCCACAGCCATGACCTTGAGCTGGGTAGGGCCAGAGAGGGCTGGCTGGGGTCCCTGCCACTCTGACATGGGGCAGTGGACAGTGCCTTGTCCCCGCCTTGCCCCAGCGTCCCCTGGCAGCCCACCTCCCAGCCCGAGCCCCTAACCCTAGCTTCCCCCGCAGTGCTCAGTGACATGCAGGGAGGGCACTCGGCACCGAAGTGTCCTCTGCACCAATGACACTGGTGTCCCGTGACGAGGCCCAGCAGCCAGCCCGCCAAGTCACCTGCTGTCTGCCACCCTGTCTGCGGCCCCTGAACACACTGGTCCCTGACGGCTCAGGCAGCGGTTCCTCTAGCCACAAGCTCTTCAATGAGGCTGACTTCATCCCGTGTCGCCTGGCCCCACGCCCTTCACCCACCTCAGCACCCAGGCCAGCCAGCATGGGCAATGCCATGGACGAGGAGCACCTGGAGCTGGACCCGCCGGGGCCCGTGTTTGTGGACGACTTCTACTACGACTACAATTTCATCAACTTCCATGAGGACCTGTCCTACGGGCCTTTGAGGAGCCCGATCTAGACCTGGCGGGGACAGGGGATGGGACGCCCACACCATGCGGCCGTCCAGCTGCGCCCTCCACAGGTAGCCCCGTGTTGGCCACAGAGCCTCCTGCAGCCACGGAGGAAGGGGCACCGGGACCTTGGTCCCCTTGCTCTTGGCCCAGCCAGGCAGGCCGCTCCCCACCCCCACACTCGGAGCTGACCCCTGGGAACTCTGGTCAATTTCCTGCCTGAGGAAGACACCTCAATAGGGGCCCCAGACCTTGGGCTCCCCAGCCTGTCCTGGCCCAGTGTTTCCCCTGATGGCATGCAGATGCCTGCCACCCCTGGGGGCCAAAATGACTTGGTTGGCGAAGACAGCCAGCGCCAGCTGCACCCTCCATGGTGGGACAGGATCAATGAGGTTCCCAAGGATGATGAGGAACCGGAGGGCCACAGAGACCCCCAGCTGCCCCTGAGACCCAGCCCCACGCTGCCCCCTTTGTCCCCTGTCGGCAGCACCCACTCCTCTCCTGGTCCTGATGTGGTAGAGCTGTGGACAGGAGGGACTGTAGCCTGGAAGCCAGCTCTGGAGGGGGGCCTGGGGCCTGGGGACAGTGAGTTGAGGGCCACTGTGGAAGTGGCTCCTCCCCTTCCTCCTCCCATAGCCCCTCTGCCAGAGACGGAAGGCAGGGACAGCCCCCTGCAGCCGGGGACTCCTAACTCCCCAACCCCAGGACCAGGCTCCTGGGACCTGCGGACTGTGGTAGTGTGGGGCACCTTCCTCCCCACGATCCTGACTGGCCTCCGGCACACACCTGAGCCTGAGCCTGCCCTGAGCCGGGGACCCGAGGGCCAGCCTGAGTCCCTCAGCCTGAGGTGCTCCTGAGCTCTGGGCTGCTGTCCATGCCAGCTTGGGACAGCCCTGCAAACAGCCACAGAGCCCTGAGACCCAGCCCCCAGCCCCCAGCCTGGCTGAGGCAGGGCCCCCTGTGGACCTGCTGGCTGCCAGGAACACCAGCTGGCAAGTTGGAAACTGGAGTGAGGCAAGTGGTGTGGGCTGGGCTGGCGAGGGAGTTTGCCCGGGACCTTGGTGATTATTGCCTCATCTGAAAGTGAGCAGAGTGGGACACAGGCGCCGTCTGTCCCGCCTCCCTCGGGTCAGGGGTTCCCAGGGTTAGGCGGATGAGGGGACCACAGAGCCCATTCCTGGGCAGCACAGGGGGCCTCAGGGAAGCCAGGGCAGGCACACACTGGCAGCACACCCCAGGACAGAGTTCACTCAGACAGCTGTGCAGTGGGGAGGGTCCCCTCATGGCCTGCAGGCCTAGTCCTGCCCAGAAAGCAGCAAGCTTCCCTGAGGCTCAGCCCACTGCCACCTGGCTCTGCCCTCAATGGCTCCACCCTCCTTTGGCAGTGTCCTGCAGGGGTCTGAGCTGCATGAAAGAAGCTGGCCAGTGCCTCCTCCCTGGGTCCCCAGATGGTCACTGCAAGAGAAGCAAGCTTCTGTTCAGACCCCTATTTTGGGTGTGGGAAGGGGCAGGCTGGTCAGGATAGCTGGTCAGGGGTGCACGCAGGGTCCCCTTCCCCTACCTCTGCACCAGTGACACTGGAACACAGTCCCTTTGTCCTTTGTGGGCAGGGTCAGTAGGTTGCCGGGGGGTGGGGTTTGACTTTTTATTCTCACGGTCTTCCTGGGTGGTGGGTGGAGGAGTCTATTTTGCAAATAAGAAAACTGAGGCCCAGAAGAAGGGCCTGTCTTGCTGAGGTCTCGCTATCCTAGGTGGGTAGTTCCTGGCTGTGGGGGCCTGGCGGGGATGGGGTCTGCCTGGTTTTCGCGGGTCCGTGCCCCTCAGTGCTCCACCACCTGCGGCCTGGGTGCCATCTGGAGGCCAGTGCGCTGTAGCTCCGACCAGGATGAGGACTGCGCCCCTGCTGGCCGGCCCCAGCCTGCCCGCCGCTGCCACCTGCGGCCCTGTGCCACCTGGCACTCGGGCAACTGGAGTAAGGTGTGTGAGGATGGAGCCAGGGCAGGAAGCCCCAGGGCACAGGGCGGAGACCTGGGTCCCCAAGGCCTGTGTTCCGAGAGCAGCAGGGCAGGGGAGGGCTCTGGGCTGCACGCCTGGGCACCTGATGGCACTGGATCTGAATCTCCTGGGAGTCTTCATTTTTGTCTGACTTGGCCTGTCTCCTCCCCTCTGTATTTCTGACCCCATCTGGACTTGTCTTTCACCAGCTTGCCTTTGTTCCTCTCTTTCTCTATCTGTCCCCACCCATGGCAGCTCCTGGCCGGGCACCTTTTGCCTGGGGCCTGCCAGCCTTGGCCTCCCACTGGGGCTCTTCAGGGATTTTCCCTGGGCTGGAGCGTGGGCCTGATGCCTTCCCTGCCACACGCATCACAGGGTCGCACGGGTGGGCCTACACGTGGTGGGTGTCCATATGCGTCTCTCCGTCCCCAGCTGCGGTGGAGGCTCCTCAGTGCGGGATGTGCAGTGTGTGGACACACGGGACCTCTGGCAGCTGCGACCCTTCCATTGTCAGCCGGGGCCAGCCAAGCTGCCCGTGCACCGGCCCTGCGGGGCCCAGCCCTGCCTTAGCTGCTACACTTCTTCCTGGAGGGAGGTGAGGCCTGGGGGTCCAGTTGGGGGGAGGGGGCGTCCTCAGACCCTAGCTGTGCCCTGACTCCTTCCCTGCACCCCAGTGCTCTGAGGCCTGTGGTGGTGGTAAACAGCAGCGTCTGGTGACCTGCCCGGAGCCAGGCCTCTGCGAGGAGACACTGAGACCCAACGCCACGCGAACCTGTAAGACTTACCCCTGCACGCAGTGAGTGGTGGGGCCCTGGGGCCAGTTGAGCTGGGCTGTGTGGAGGAGCAGGGAGCAAGGGCTTGGCGGCACCTGGTCGGTCCTGGGTTGGGTGAAGCAGCTATTGAGTGTGGCTGAGAGCCAGGCTGTCTCTGGCCACTGCTCGTGCAGCAGTGACTGGACGAGGTCCCGCCCTGCTGGTGCTCACAGCCTGCCAGGGAGAAACAGACACATGCTGTGATGTCAGGGAAGACCTTTCCAGGAGGGGTCTTGAGTTGAGACTCGAGAGAGGAGTGAGTGATGCCAAGGACAGGGATAAAAGGGACAGTAAGTGTGAAGTCTGAGGCAGGAATGACAAGCTTGGGGCGATCAGGGAGTCTGGCAAAGCCCAGCTGCAGAAGGGGGCAGAAGAGGAGCCTCAGATGGGCAGGATGCCTTCTGCCGGGTCTGTTTAGAACAAAGGGGTTCAGAAATCTCAGCTGTGGGCCCTAAGCTGGGCCCTGGAATCAGTTGGGCCACGGTTTGAGTCTTTGTCCCACTGGCTGCTGAGTGACTCTGGGCAGGCTGCTTTGCAGCAAGTGAGTCAGTGAGAGCAGGCCTCGGGAGCCAGAGGGATGTTACCCTGGGAGACCTGTCTGCAGAAGGCTGGGTTCTGGGGCAGGAAGGTTTTCTGGGCAGGGGTACAGCTTGGCCCATACTTGCAGCCTGCCTCCAGCTCAGGCATCCAGGTTTTCCTGGAGACCCACTCCGAGGTCCTCAGAGACCTGCCCACCGTGTTACTTGCAGGGACTGTCCCTTGGAGTGATGGGGGCTGGGGCCCCTGTGGGCAGCTCACTGGCCCTCTCTGATGTTATTTCTTGCCTCTTCTGCAAAAACCAGGCAGAGGGGGAAGAGCAGGCTGGCCAGCTGTGCCCTTCTGTGTCCCTTTATCTGTGTCCAGAGACGGGGCTGGGCTAATGTTAACTGCCTCAGGGCGGTCCCTTCCTCACCACCAGCCCCAGCACCAGGTTCCTACCATGCTGATCTGTGGTCTAGCAACCAGGCATCTGCCTACCCACAGCCCCCTCCCCTCCGATAAAATCTAGTCCCATGGAGAATGTGGTGCCCACAGCAGGGAACAGATGTGCATGAAAGTGCTTTGAAGATGGTCCTGGCCTGGCCGAGGGTGGGGAGGCTGGGAAGGGGGCACACACTGTCCTCCCAGGCCCAGCCCTGGATCCCACCTGCCCTCTGGCTGTGAGCCTTGGACTCAGCCGTTGACAATTTCCTCCTTAGCCCTCCCCCTGGAATGCCCCTTCCCAGGTGGGGGGCGCTAAGGTTCAGAGAGGTCACCTTGCATCCTACCGGGGCTACTGCTCACATTCTACTCTCCCACATATGGCATCCCCGGGCAAAAGGCGAGTGGGACCCTGGAGCCTGCATGTGGCAGCTGCGGCTGCTTGGTCGGATGTATGCTGGGACAGAAGAGACACCACTGAAAATCACTCCTTAGGGACTGAAACCAAGAAACAGTATCAGAGGCTGAACCCCTTAGTGATGAGCGTGTGTCCCAGGACGTGGAAGCGATGAAGGGAGCATGGCCAGGGCGGCTACCTGCACGTGTGTGCCCTGCTGCTCCCAACTCCACGTGCTCACCTCATTTCACACCAACAGCCCCATCCTCAGAGGAGGAGCCCGAGGCTCTGAGAGGAAGTAACTGGCCCAAGGCCACATGTCCTGGTGACACAGGCCATCCTAGGCCCCGACTGCTCACCTGCAATCTCTAGGCCACCCTGAGTGGGTAGAAGAAGGAGCAGGCCCTGACCAGGTCCCAGTAGTGGCTTTGCACAGAGAGAGCAGCCTGCCAGAGGTCACGAAGGAAAGCAAGTCACTCAGCAAGCTAGCGCGAGTCCCAGCCCCACTATGCAGCACGAGGGTGGAGGAGCGTCAGGTGCGCTTCCTGTCTGTGTCTGCAGCAGCCTGGCTGGCCCAAAGAGACCCTGGGGACCCACGCTGAGTCATGGCTTCCCAGGTCTTAGTCAAAACTGTCCCTGGTGGCAACATCTTCCAAGGGGTGGGGAGCAGGGCTGTTGACTTGCTCCTGGCCCAGCTCTGACATCACTGCCACGCTGTGTGACCCCAGGAATGCACAGCCTCGCTGAATCTGTGTCTCCAGAAGAGAAAAGGCTGCCAGACCTTGGCCTGCTCTGTCTGGGAATCCTTGCTGGAACCACCCCCCAGGCCCCCCCAAGGGAAGACATTTGGTCTTAATCATTGTTGGGTGTTTTCCACTGATGGCTGGGGGTGTCCCCAGTGGCAGCTGGGTCTGAGCTGTCAGTCTAGGCAGGAGACAAGACTGTGACTCAGGCAGGGCATGGCACAGCTGGCAGAAGGAGGGGATGCCTGTTCTTTGTGGTTGGACGGGGGGGGTTATCTGGACACAGGGAGTCTCCAGCTTCCGACTTTCCCACTTCAGTGCCCCCAGCCCACACCTGCATCTTGGCCAAGGTCCTTGGGGCCTCCCAAGGCTTCCCCTGCTGGCAAAGCCATCCTGATACACCCACTCCAGGACAGTGACACCCAGAAGCACCAGGCTGGAAGGTCAGTGAGCCCTTCCTTGTCCCCCAACACCAATAAGCCCTCCCCCACCCTCCAAGCCCTTGGGGAGAGCCCCATTACAAGTGACTACAAGTGAATCTCAAGGCAGAATATTCTACAAATTAGTTTCTTTCTTCCTTTAGTATTACAATTCCAAAGTGTAACTTGAAGGTCAGCACAGGTGCTGCTGTGATATAAAAGGACAGAGCCACTTTTATTATAAAAGGACAGGTGCCCCTGGCGTCCTGCAGTTACCCAGCAGCAGTGGACGCTCAGGGGTGAACAGTGGGTCTCTGTATGGCCTCCCACCTGCAAACATTTCCCTGGGCAGGCCCAGCTGCCCAGAAGCCCGGGAACACACAGGAAGGTAACACTACAGGATGGCTGGGGGGATCTGTGTGACACAAGCACGTGGTCAGAAAACCCAACCGGGGATCTGTCTAGCACGCTTGCTACATGAACACACTGCAGTTAAAGCCAGAACCGCCTCGAGCCAGCAGCAGTCTTGTCTGCTACAGTACAGCTGTCAGCTCAGTGACAGGGAGTGCCCGAGGCTACCTGGGTGAGAAGCCGCCCGCACATCACATTGGTGAGTCAGTGAGAGTCAGGGCCAGAAGGAAGAGCAACTCGGAGGCTCAGACTGGTGCAGATGCACCCCAGGGAGTCACACATACAACATAAGAACTTGCTATATAAAATAGATGTGTAGAATCTGGAGATACCTTGAGAAAATAGCCTAAAAATATATAAACTGTAGGGAAAATATACAAAAGTATTAGCAGAGAAGTTCAACCCATAAAAGAACCCCAACCATTTAAAAATTGGCAATTTTCAGCAGGTGCAGGGAGGAAGCTCTCCTGGGTCCTGGCAGGTGATGGAAGCCACCCTTTGGGTTTCACAGCTGGCAAGGTCCCCCTTGCAGGTGCCACGGGCTGGGTGTTGGGGTGAAGATTCAGAGAAGAAAGCCACGTTGGGAAGCCCTTGCCAGAAGGGGGCCCTGCCATGGCAGCCAGTGGAGGCCAGGGAGCTTTGGGACATTGAAGGTGACAGCAGCCCTTTCCTTATTGACATGAGGGAGGGGAAGTGTTAGCTCGAAAGAGTGGGGCCCACAGTTCTGGAAAGATGAGTTGGCTCCATCCTGTTCCCAAACTGGAACCAGGTGGGCCACCCTCCCTTGCCTTCTGGACACATGATACTTGATTCCAGGGAGTGTCACTCCAAGAAAACATCCCCAGTCCCTTTCCTCCAAGATGTCTCCTGCGCTCTCACACACTGCCCAGCAGCTGCTGGCAACTGTTTGGAAACATTAACATTCACTGCAGTCTACAGCCACGAAGGCTCTGGTCAGGTGCATCTCACTGGGCAAACTGGACACCACCTGTCCCTAAAGGCAGCGTCTTAGCCCCTGGACACAGCAGTGTGCGGCATGCCAGATGTCTCCTCTGTGCTGCTGCCCCAAGTCCTACAGCCAACCTGTTTTGTGAGTCCTGCCTCTCCATCCACTGGGTCTGCCTTCTTGACAAACCACCCTGGGCCCATAGCTCCTCTGGCAACCCAGCCCCTCACACTGAGGACCCATCTCACCAGTCGCCTCCCTTGGCTGGGCCAACACGTCCAGTCCATTCCAGCTTCCCTGGTCTCAGGCCTAGAGACAACACATCCCTCCCTGAGCGTCCACCTCTGTCCCTCAATCCTGACTCCATCGAAAGCCCAGAGAAACCTCCCCAGAACATCCTTCTCAGCAGGCCCACTGCAATGCGGCAAAGGTTTCAGAGCTCCCCATTCTCTAGGCAGCAGTCAGTTCCTTCCCACACGTACTGGATTCTGATGCCCTCTCCACTCCATTAGGGCCCACTGCCACCCACACCACACATGGTCCCTTCCTCTCCTGGGGAGCTGCCCCCTTGGATCTTGAGAGTCAAATACTCAGGGCAACCTTAAGTCAGATGTTGTCCTTAAAGCTTCTCAAGCCATTCTGCAGCTCCGTGACTGGGCTGCCTGCAGCCCACACACTTCTCTCTGGTCAGCATCCCATAACTTAGCACTGAACACATAGAGGCTGTTACTCTCCACCAGTAGTGGAGTTTTCCCAACCAGACAGTAAGCTTCTTGAGGAGAAAAAAATAATCATATTCTTATGGTCTCCGTGAAGCAGACACCATTGGAGGCCCTCAGATCTAGATGTCAGAAACAGGGTTCCATACTCTTTTGTCACCTCCCTCTCCAACTCGTCCTCCGTAGATATGGACAAGACCTTGAACCAGTCAGCCTAGTTAATCTAAAAAACACTTCAGGCAGAGAAGTAAGGTGGTTACTTTGTTGTTTCAATGGCTGACCTGAGACTCAGACTTCTGGGTTCAAACTTTCACTATGGATGTGCAAAAAAAAAAAAAAAAAAAAAAAAAAAAAACCTCCTTAACCATGCACAGGGGCGCACACCTGTAATCCCAGCACTATAAGAGGCCGAGGTAGGCGGATTGCTTGAGGCCAGGAGTTTCAGACCAGCCTGGCTAACATGCCAAAATCGCATTTCTACTAAAAAATAAAATTAGCCAGCTGTTGTGACACACACCCATGATCCCAGCTTCTTAAGAAGGCATTGTTTATACGTTATATCCACAGGAACTGTTTGAACCTGGGAGGCAGACGTTGTAGTGAGCTGATAATGCATAACTGTACTCCATCCTGGGCAACAGAGCAAGACTCTGTCTCAAAAAAATAAAGACAAAGGCCAGGCACAGTGGCTCACCCCTGTAATCCCAGCACTTTGGGAGGTTGAGGTGAGTGGACCATGAGGTCAAGAGATTGAGATCGTCCTGGCCAACATAGTGAAACCCCATCACTACTAAAAATACAAAAAATTACCCGGGTGTGGTGATACACGCCTGTAGTCCCAGGTACTCAGGAGGCTGAGGCAGAAGAATAGCTTGAACTTGGGAGGCAGAGGTTGCAGTGAGCCAAGATCGCGCCACTGCACTCTGGCCTGGCAACAGAGTGAGACTGCTGAAGAAAAAGACCCTCTTCAACTGGCAGCAATGCCTGGTGTTGTGGGAAGGGAGGACTGGAGGCCCCAAAGAGTGCCCACCAGAGCCACCCACCATGGGGAGGAGGAAAAATGAGAAAAGCATCCATTTATTGGGTGCTTTCTATTTGCCAGTTCTGCTGGGCAGCTTGGATGCATTATCTATTGCTAATTCTCACAGCATCCCTGCTAGACCAGGGTTATTCCAATCACAGGCAGACACGCCAAGGCCTGGAGCTCCCTTTCCAACATGCCTCTATGCATGGGAGAGAGGGACATGGTGAACTGTTTGAGGGGACGAGGCTTCAAAGGATGCCCTGCACATGTGCAAACCCCATGGAGAAAAGCAGAACAAAGGCAGGCAGGCTGTCCAGGTAAGTTCACATCCACCTGGCTCAGCATTCACATGGGAATTTCACAAGATGCTTTTTTACAAGCTGCTCTTGAAATTAACATTGCAGCTTCAAATGATGATGTTTACATTTTCTTCAAGAAATATCCCACCCCACTCCTCAGGAGAGGAGACTTTAACAATAATTTCTAAGGTGTTACATTAAGTTCAGGAGTCCTCTTTACACCAACTTAGACAAACTGTCTTCTGTCCAGAGGTAGGGAGCTGGCCTCACCGTCTCCAAGGGCCCCACCAGGAGACTGTCAAAGGCCTTCACCAACAACCAAAGCCAGCAGGGTTGGGGAGGGTGCTTAGGTGATGAGACCTTTAAGACCTTGCTACTGTCCCTGACAAGAGGTAAGGCAAAAGTTTACAGCCCTCACCAAGAAAACAGTGCAAGAAATAGAAGCCAACTTCCATATGTGGTGATTCTGCTGGTTCCAACCACAGCTCCCTAAAAACTCCATCTCTCTGTCTAGTGTCTTGAGATCTGAAGGCTGGAAGGGCCTGTGAAATAACCTAGGACCACCCTGTCACTCACAGCAGGTGTGCAAGCACTCACCCAGCTTTCTGAGGTGGCACCCTGGCCCCCTACATTGGGCTACTCCCAAGACCACCAGGCAGCTGAGTCCCACAAAGGTTTAAAAGCACACTACAGTCACAAATTGGTGCCAATGAATTAATCATTACATCATATCTAGAAGGAACTTATGGAACAAAGTCTCCGTCCACAGGGATGAGGTGATCTTGACACAAGGCCAGACTCACAAATGACCCTTCCAGGAGCTAAATTTTTTTATTTACCTCAATGTGCAAAAAGTCTAACAATGACTTTAAAGATAATTTTATTGTTTTCAAGTTCCATGCAGCAGTAATTGGTGTGATAAAATGTTTTGGCTGGCAGAGGTGCATTTGTTGTACAAAAAAAGTGTTTCAAAGTGAATGGAGGGTATCCCTTTAAGAAGTCTTCCATTTCTTCAGCTCCTCCTATGTGCCAGGCACTGGACCACGTCCTGGGAATTCAAAGATGACCAAGGTACCTTTCCCCTCCCCAATGTCAGGGGAAAACAATATGGGGGAGATGCCCATATACAGGTATAGCGAGAGACCACACGCGCTCAAGTCAGCGCGACCAACCTGCATGCAGAATCAAGGCCAGAGAGAGGGTGAAATTGCAGCTAACTCCTAAAGGAGCTTGCCACAGGGCAAGCTGGTAATATTGTCTGCTTTTCCAAACAGAGGGGCTTCCACCTGCCAAGACAAAGAGACACAAATGAGCATAGCCTGAGAAGTTGTTGAGAACGTCTGGAAGGGAGGCTGAAGTGCTCTCTCAGCCAAACAAATGATTTCCAAATTAAAAACAGTAAAAGGCAATCATAGGGAAACTGACATGTAAAACTAAATAACCAGCTATATATTTTGTGTAATCTCGGCAAGAAAGATTCTGAAAATATCAATAAAAGATGAAATACATAAAATTATCTAACAAAATACAGTGTGGAACCTAACATCAATCATGGATTTATTTATTCTTACTCTCTATAAGTATTTCTGGCTGGCGAGCATCTTAACCACATAGAATAGCCCAAGGGGACAGATATGAGCATGATAATTAAAATGTTACTACCTATTTAAACAGAGCTATGGAAAGTAAATCTTGCTGTATTTTTCCAAATGAATCAGTCGTGTTTTTTTTTTTTAATCTCTAATCTCAAATATTTTAGAGGTTTTAATTTATGAAAGTCCTGTAAAATTATCTTAAAACTCTAACTGGAAAAGACACACCAGGTGTAACAGCTCTGCCATGGAGTTGCAGTACGCTGGTCTGCATCATTTAGGGAGACCCTAATTCTCTCGGGACAGCCTGCACTGACAGAGTAGAGTAACCTTAACCCAAAACTCTAGCCCAGTGCCTTCTACACAAGCCTGCAGTAGCCACATTTTCTGGCAATCAGTCCCCAGGAACCAAGCCAGAGAGTAGGTTGGGATCGCAATCTTCCTTCTCCAGGCACTGTTACCTACTCGGGATACTTAATTCAGTCATCGAATGGGCTGAATTTCTTTTCTGGCCAGTAGATGGAGCCTATGCATTGGTGAGATGGGCAAAGTGCACAGTGGACACCTCTCAGGTGCGAGCAGAAATTGACAAATGACAAGATTAAGGGAGAAAGTGTAATAGGCAGATCTCTGAAATAGAAGGCAAACTGCAGGAGCTACTGTTTACTGAAAAAAAATCACAACTGTTTAATAAGCAACATGCCATCTTGTAAATAAGCACTTTGGCAAAATAAGGTTTTATTATACATTTATTGAGCACCTATGTGCCAGGCACTATACCATATTTAAATGACAAGGGCAATCAAACATCAAGTCTGCCTTATATTTCTATCCAAAGAACATCTCTGTTCAAGGATGTCACATCCGTAAGAGCAGTAGCAGCTGAAGTCTGAGAGCTTAATACCAGGTGCCGGGTATCTGTTCTAAGCACTTGACATGTATATGAATTCGTTTGATTTTTGTGAATATTTAAAGTAGGTTCTACTAAAATTATGATTTCACAGATGAGGAAACTGAGGCAAAAGAGGATTAAATAATTTGCCTTAGAGCTTAGCTACTGAAGAGCTGAGATTCAAACCAGCCACTTTGGCTCCACAGTCCTCATAAAATTACAGGCAAGGAATAAGACAAATCACTGTCAACCAGCAAAGCCATGGTTATGAACTTAAAAGGAGTCATGGGTAAGTAGATCCACACAAGTTAGGGAAATCCCAAAAACCTTCAGGAAGGAGAAGGAATCTGAGTTAGAAACGTAAGGATGGCATCTCAGACCTATTAAAACCACAGAAAAGGTATATGGGGGAATCACCTTAGTGTGCTGCCTTTAAAAAGTTATAAGTTTGTCTCTATTTTACAGGTCCACCTGAAACTTGGATATTAATTTTTCAAAAACCTATTTCCTCACAATTTTTCTGACTTTGGTTTTCTAAACATATTAGAAAATGTTTCCATTTTGGTGAGAAAAGGAAAAACGTCTCTCCCAAATATTTTTAAGYCTCCAYATTTCTATTGAGRCTCACAAAAGTTAAAGACACTAAAGCTATGCTGACCTTTCTTTGCTCTTAAGTGGCACTTTCTGCTACTCACTATTGAGGGTGGAAGGAGAAGTACCAGAGTAGTGAAGAGGGAAAACATTCCCAGCTATGGAATGGAAATAGCAGAAGCAAAAACTTGGAGACAGGAACAGCATGGCTTACTTTCCATCAAGCTAAAGCCCAGATGCTGGGGAGTACCAGGAACTAACACTGGATCCCTACAGCAAAGGATTACTGAGGACCTGTTTCATTACTTGATTCTAAGGACCTTGGATTTGATTCTAGGAACACAAGGGGCACATTCTGAGAATTTGGAGATCGCAAGTCCATCAAACCAAGTGGATGGTACAGGAACTGGTTCAGAGGCCAACTCAGCATGTAGTCAGAATCAGTGCAGGTCTGGACTGGGCCAGGCTGGAGCCAGGAATGGGGTGAATCTGAGCAATTTCAAGTGACTTAGTGAGATAGAAAGAAAACATTCAATTAACCAGTCTCCCCAGAAAAGGAGAGGCTGCAGAACTGAAACTGAACCACGAATTCCACCCTGAACCAATCTCTGTTGCTGAAAACTTTACAGAGGTACATGTGAGAAAGAAAAGCCCAACTATATCACCTGACCAAGAAAGCTACCATAACAAAAGTTCCTATGACCACATATCATGTTGTGACCTAACATAAGCAGTGAACTCATCATCCACAGAAATCAGATGACAGAACTCAGGGAAGCCTAACAGCAGATCTCCCTCTGCTGCTGCTGGTCTCTGTGTT